GGGTGAAGTGTAGAGGGGCAAGGTGACACAGTCTGGACCGGAGACGCGATGCAAGTGGTATCTCTAAGCTATACAGAATGTCAGAACGGGTCCTTCATGCTCACTACCAAACGAAGCCCAGACTGTCGCTCGCCGCAGGTCGGACAGCTGCAGGGGTACACTCACTATTTTTGGTGGTGTCTGCTTCTATGCAGGCCCTTACTCTTTGCGCATCGCCGCCAGCCTATCCATCCCATCCTTTCCCTCCACGCGCATCATCTCCCACTCGACCTGCGGCTCTGCCTTGAGGCACTTCTCGTAGAAGTCTATACTGGGCTGGTTCCACTGTATCGTCAGCCACCAGTCCCAGCGCAGGCTTGCGGTCTACAGATTATTGCTCTATACTGAGATCAGCCGGATGGTTCGAACGTACCTTGAGAACACGCCATTCGACCCGACCACACTCCTTCTCCTTGGCCAACTTGCCCAGCTCGCCAAAGAGCCGCTTACCCAGCCCTTTTCCACGTTGTTGTTCGTCAACAAAGAGGTCTTCCAGCTGTATGGTCAGTTGAAGTACTTTCCACACTACAGCCCGCATGAAGAGGCGTAAAACTCACGTAGAGTCCGGGGACACCGAGCCAGGTAGAGTAAGTGTAGAAGTACTACCGAGTCAGCTCGACGCCCAGACCTCTACATCAAGCAAGGAACGGGTCAACTCACAAGTGCAAACCCCACAGCCTTGCCATCGTCCTCCCCGCCTACCATCCGAGCGATAAACACCCCGGCATACCCTTTGCGGAATACATTCTCCGCCATCATTTCGGGTGTGGCCTTGACTGCATCAGGCTCTTTTTCGTAGATCGCAAGGTCGACGATCATGCGGTGGATATCGGGCTAAAGTGTCAGCTTGTGTTGCAGATGACGGTCATAGAGGGTTGCGACTAAGCGGAACCAGGGCAAGGACGAGGGATCGGTAGACAAGGCAACGCACGATATCGGCTTCCGTAGCCTGGGTGATTTTGTAGTCGGCCATTTTTTGATGTCTTTATATGCACAGCTAGCACTGTTCTGTGAGGTCTATGTACAGTGAGTTGGACGAGTGGTATCGATCACGTCGTATGGCTGATGGGCAGCGGGTTTGGGAATTTTGGCTTGAGCTGGCAGCACGTGACCCGGCTATTCCCGGCGCGGGCGATCTCAGATCTCACCCACGACCGTCTGTTCTCTACACCTCTGTATCTTCATTCCTTTGCTCACTGCTCACACTACCTTGACCTTGACTCAGATACCCCGCAGATCTGCCCCAGGAGCATCTGACAGAGATGACAGCCCCAAACCAATCCGCCTGGACTCGCCGTCTGCGTCGCTTGACGTATTTCGCCGGTGTGTTCGGGACATTCTACCTCGTCTCGAGCTATGCGTTGGATCGGATGAGGGAGGCGAGGATGCGAGCTCTCAAAGATCGCAAGAACAAGGATCTGTAAGCCTCCTGCTGAATCCTTGCTGCCAGATAGATAGCGTCGACCAAAGCTCACTCCGCAGGTTGAAAGCACACTTCACTACCCTCCTCTCCACCCTCTCATTCACCCTCTACGCCCTCCTCCCTACTCTCTCCCCCCAACTCGAATCCGCCTATCCCGTCAAGTTGACCAGTCAAGCCCTCCAGGGCCTCTCTAACCCCGCGAGCAGCCAGATCAGCTCTATCAGCGGGGCCGAGACGGAGTCCCCCTCGCATGGGATTCTCGAGTCGTCGGTACCTGATATGCCGGTCCAGGTGGACAGCCGGGAAGGGTCTGTTGGAGGTGCTGAGGATGTGAGAAGAGGAAGTGAGCAGAGTGAGGGGCCAGAGGGGAGCGTCTCGGAGAGTTGGGCGAGCGAGTTTAGGGGACGGCGAGGAGATGAGGAGTCTTCCCACGCGGAAACGGATGATGGGGTGGGTTTACCGCAGACTGTCCGCCGGATGGTAGGGAGGGTGCTGATGTCACAGCTATCCTCTGCTGTCTCTCAGCCTATCTCCCTACCTCTCTCGGACCTATCGACCTCCTCTGGATCTCCACCGTCAGACATGACGGCCAGCTCGCACTTTCACCTCTCACCCTCGCCGCCAAGACATCGAGACGCCTCGCCGACGGGTCTCGAAGCTCTGAGCAGCAAGAGCAAGAAGGAGCTCTGGCGTGATCTCAAAGTCCAAAGTATGTCGTTGCCCATCTCCCCTTTGCACACACTTGCTGATCAGTAGGCTTGACTCGTGCCATCACGACGGCCTACCTCGTCCCGCTTTTATACCTCCTGACGACCTCCCAGCTCTCCACACTCGCTCGAGAGCGCTACCTCGCCGATGTCAGAGCATCACTTCCGCCCGTCGCCCTTGCGAGCCCTTCGACACCCTCCAAAGACTCGTGGCTACCCTCGACTGAGTCCGGCGGGATCTCAGGCCTGATCGCGGAATCGGCGTCCCTCCTGCCGGACCCCTTGGCGCTTCTGCCAACTTTCGTCAGATCCCGCCTCCCTTGGTCCTCTCCTGTGCATCTTTCAGCGGAGGACCAAGAGCTCGCCTTGTTGCGCGCGGAAGAGAAGAGGGAGGCAGAGGAGATGGAACGGGCCGAAGCGGAACGGATGTACCTCACTTATAGCTGGTGGATCCTGCATGAAGGGTGGAGAGTTGTGGCCGGACGAGTCGAAGCAGGTGTGGAGAGAGTGATAGGGCCGTCAGTTCACGCTTTCAAACCTGAAGAGCTTGAAAGAAGCTGACTAGACAGCATGGGTCTCAAGCGGGAATTATCGCTGAATGACTGGGAAGCGCTGACTAGGGATATCAGGCGCTGCGTTGACTATGAGGACGAAAGCAATATGGCATTCAAGTAAGTCTACTCTGGAGTATACGGTTTCGAATTTGTTATGCTGACTTGCAGCTTCACACCTCATCTCCTCCCCTCCTCGCCCCTTCCACGCACCTTCACCCCCTCCTGCCCCCTTCCCTCGTCCCCGCCGTCCCCGCACCTCGCCCGCCTCCTTTCTCAGACTCGCACCCACCTCGCATCGCCCGATGCGGCCTACCTCATCCAGTCCGGTGTAGACAATATGGTCTCCAAGCTCCTAGAGTCGCTGGACAGCGAATTGTATCGTCCAGCCGGATTCAGCATGTTTCCTACGGAACGCGCGGAGGGGGGAGAAGAAGATGAAGGTCAGACGAGGCGTCTGGCAGAGTGTCTCCCGGCGTTCAGCCGGTGGGGCAAGGGCGTGTGGGAAGGGGTGCCGGACGGTGGAGTGGAGGCTGTCTTGGGGATGGGGGAGTTTGAGGGGTTTGCGGGATTGATCTTTGGGGACTGGGCGTGATTCGAGTTGGGTACAGTAAGCAATTGGCTTCAATAAGAGGGCGGTAATTGTAAGAGTAGAATGTTAGGATTCTGAGTGTGAAGCGAGATTAGCACGGGGACCTCGAGCTGCGGCCGTGTCGCCCCATAGACCCCCGAGGAGCCCAAGTCCATTACCACACAGCTTGCATTCCGCGACACCATCCACGCCCAACCAATCCTCTGCCTCCCATCCCAGGTCCAACCCACCGTCTACTGCTCCTCGGCGGGGATGTTGATTTCCGGGTTGAAAAAGAGGGTCTGCATACCCCACCTGTACTGTCAGCGGGTCCGTCACAGCCGGCAAAAGACATTCCGCGCTCCGCCCTATCAGAGCGGAAGGCAGCAAGAGCCAACGAAGGAACATACGGGAATGGCTAGAATGTCAGCTATGTCGCCCTGCATCATCAGGGGCACCCGATAGCAGACATACCTTGTTGCGAATGTTCATGTACGAGTAGACTTTCCGCCCGCCGTGCTCTGCCTCCTCGTCGGTCGCGTCCTCGCCGTGATCGCCGCCTCCGGCGTGGTTACCGGCGTGTCTAGCTCGTCAGCTCTTTCCTCCTCAAAACAGATGGAGAAACGCGAGCTCACGCAGCGTGCGCCTTGTGCGCCATTTCCGCCTTGTATGTCCACAGTGCGCAGACAGCAATTCCGGGGATACACACAAAGAAGCTGATCTTCTTCCACAAATCGGTCGTTTCTGAGGTATCAGCTGCGACCCCCAGTAACACCAGATCCGCGACCGACGGCTTCACAACGAAGCCAGCGGAAGACAGACGCACGAGTAGCGTGCTCGCGCATAGCTGCGCGCTTTGCGACAAACTCATTCTCGCCCGCCGCTACTGTTGATGCGAAACGGCGGGGTACGGCGCGGGTGAGCTGAAGTGCGAGACCTGGGCGGAACATGGTAGCTGTATGTGTAGGTGTAAAGGGGTAAGCGACGGAGATGTATAGTAGTGGGTGTAGCGGTTTTGATGCTCCAGCTGCTCAGGTGATTGGTCCCGGGAACGGCCGCTTTCAACCGAGAACTGCCCAAATCTAAATACGCTCCCCAGATAAGAGAATGGGCCAATCTCCTCCACGTCCACCATAGACAACTTCCCTTTGTCCACCTTAACTCTATACCCTACCTTCCACCTACGCAGCGCGCTCACAAGGCCTCAGAAGCCGCGCAAAATGGCCCCAGGAATATCATACGATGATTCAGGATCATTAGCGAGCTACTTTGGCGTCACATTCCTCGTCGTCACTCTCGTTCCTGCTACCTACCTCATCTTCAGGCCAGAAAGGAAGGGTTAGTTGAGCTTACCCTACCGTCTGAGAGTCGCAGCTGATCCAGTAGATACACTGAAACCACTATGCACGTGCTCAGAGTGCCAAACGTCCCGCGCAGCTCTGCAGGGCCAAAAACAGTCTATACGGACAAAACGGTTCTCACGGCGGATCGTTCCCCTCGTCCTTGGCTGGCTGGCATTCGCGTACTTGCTTTACGCAATAGCGACGGCCCCGACTGTACCCGGTCAGGCGATATATGATCCATTCGAGATCCTGGGGTTGAGGAGCGGGACGGACGAGAAGGGGATCAAGAAGCACTACAAGAAGTTGTCTTTGCAATAGTAAGTGTGTGACGGTCCCGTGAGGCTGGAGAAGGGGCTGATGGTCAGTCATCCCGATAAGATCCAGCTGGGACCGAACCAGACAATAGAGGAGGTGGAGGGGAAGTTTGTGGAGCTCACAAAGGCGTACAAGTCGCTCACGGACGAGGCGATCCGGGAGAACTTGGCAAAGTACGGGAACCCGGACGGACCACAGCAGCGCGAAGACAAGATCGCGATTCCGCAGTGGGTCGTAGAGGGGAAGAATAGTATTTGGGTGTTGGGCGCGTATGGCTTGGTTCTGGGTGTCGGAATCCCAGTCGTTGTGGTAAGTCCCCGGCCATCCCTCCGGGCTATGGCTAATGTCAGGGACGCTGGTGGTTCCGACAACAACGTACGACGCGAGACAACATCCTCAATACCTCTGCCGAATACTTTTTCCACAATCTCCGCGAAGACACCGATTTCCTCAACCTCATCACCATCCTCGCTGGCGCGCTCGAGTTTCAGACGATTCTCGGGCTGGCTACCAAGGCCAAGGGGAAAGGCAAGCCTAGCAAGAAGGAGCGGAAAGAGAAGACGGGGCGGGTGGAGGAGGTGGAGGCGTTGCTGGATGAGCGGAGAGAGGCTTTGGGTCTGGGGGAGAGCATTACGATGAGGCCGGAGAATCGGGTGGCCGTGGGAAGTGCGGCGCAGAGGCGGGCGAGGGTATTGATTTGGGGACATTTGCTGCGTTGGGACTTTGACGAGAGGGACTTCAGAGATGGTGAGCTATTACCAGCACAACGTGGAGTAACCCAAGCTGACCTTGAGACCAACGCGCCGTGCTCTTGGCCGTTCAGCCCCTTCTCACAGCCATCTCCAACATCTCCCTCGCGCACGGCTGGCTCAGCACTTCCCTCCTCTCGCTCCGGCTCCAATCCGCTCTCGTTCAGGCCATCCCGGCCGGCTCGTCCCCCCTCGCCCAGCTCCCCGGGGTCTCGCTCGACAAGGCCGAAGAGCTCCAATGGACCAAAGCGGCCGAGGGACGGCGGTGGATCGAAAAGTTCGCCAAGGCGGATGTGGCGGACGATGTGGATTTGGTAGAGGCCAAGCGGGTCGCAGAGGGCTGGCCGAGGTTCGAGATTGTCGATGCGGAGTTCAAGGGTGAGCTAAGCCGAGCCTAGGAGGGGTGAGCATAAGCTGACGATATAGTGGAAGGAGAAAAGGTGGTCTCGCCATCGTCAATAGTCAGCTTGAACTTCCGAGTCCGATATGTCGCCCCATCCGCATCCAAGCGGAAATCCATCTCTGTGCCAAACGGGGACGTTCCTGCTGGATCCAACGGGGACGTTGAGAAGGCTGTCCAGGCCATCAGCGACGAGGAGAAGGACATTGAGGAGGGGGCAAACACAGATCTGAAGGAGAAGGTCGGAGATCTCAAGGAGAAGATTGCGGATGTCGTTTCGGACAAGACGGGGAAGAAGGATGAAAAGGAGAAGGAGAAGGAATGGGAGAAGAATGGGTATGCGCATGCTCCGTTCTGGCCTCAGGTGAGTTTTCCCCTTGACGTATATTGCATTGCGAGCAGCGCTGACCGTTCAGCTTCGCAAACCTCACTTCTCCGTCCTGCTCGGGGACTCCAAGCTCGACAAGGTCATCGTCCCCCCAATCCGAATAACCGATATCCCCACCTCCCCCTCCTCTTCCCCAAGCACATTCAGCCTCACCTTCCCCGCTCCGCCACAAGCCAACCTGTACTCGTTTGTCCTGCATGCCGTATCCGATACATTCGTCGGCAACGACGTCGTCCTCCCCATCATGCTCAAAGTGGAGGATGTACCGGAGGATGACGAGTCGGACGCGGGGGACGCGGACGATATCTCCGAGCCGGATGAAGATAGCTTGGCGGGGCAGATGGCGCTGATGAAGGGTGGGAAAGTACGGCCTAGTGCTGTGCATGGGAGCGGGGGAGCCGAGGACGGGGAGGATGAGGAAGATGGGAGCGAGTACGAGTCGAGTAGTGACGAGGAGGGACCAAGGAAGGGCAGGGCGATAAATGAGGATAGCGATAGTGATGATGATTAGAGCGAGGTGGGTGAAGATTGGGAGGAGGCCCGAAGTGTCTGCCTGGGAATAATGCATAGCATGGCGACATGGTTTTTCTACAGCTGCTTGTGCCCTTGCTTCATCTGCCCCGACCACTAGGCCAATAATGCGCGTCTGATTTTCATCCACAAACGCCCGATAGTCGTTAGCGAGCCAACGCGTCATTGACCCGAACATTCCTCAACTCTCGGCCCGCTCCGGCCCGGCCCGCCAACCACCTTCACTTTTCCCCCGATCATCCTCTTCTTGCTTCTCCTCTTATCTTTCGCTTCGACACTTGTTCCACAACAACTCCGTCCTCACAAACACATCGCAAGAATGTCTGTCACTCACGCTACCGGTGAGCTCCCCTCATGATCACTTGCAGGCCCTCAGAAGCTGACAGAACAGGATATGCCGTCTTTGACCCGAAGGACTACCTTGTGCGCTCTTTCATGCCCACACCCTTGGGCCTTCTCAAAGGCCAGAGCTCATCCGTCAGAACTTCAAGCTGCAAAAGTACGAGCTCGAGCCATCTGCGGACGACCGGGTGACTGTCGCTGTCGAGTGCTGCGGTGTCTGCGGATCGGTTAGTTTATCGCGACGCTTCTACTTCAAGCGAAACGTACGACAGAGCTGACTGGAGTAGGACCACCACACCATCTCTGGTGGCTGGGGCCCATGGGAGACCAAATTCGTCGTGACAGGCCACGAAGTCATCGGCAAGGTCGTCGAGGTCGGCAAGGCCGTCAAGGAGTTCAAGGTCGGCCAGCGAGTCGGTGTCGGCGCACAAGTCGGGTCGTGTGGCAAGTGCAAGGCGTGCAAGACTGGTCTTGGTAAGCGTGCCACAGCGGCAGATCTTCTTGACATGAGGGGACATGGCTGACTGTTAGAAAACTACTGTGTCCAGCCGGTCCACGGTTACAACACCAAGTGGTACGATAACAAGGAGCACCAAGGGGGTTACTCTACGCACGTCCGTGCTCAGGAACTCTTTGTCTTCCCTATCCCCGAGGGACTCAAGTCTACCGATGCTGCCTCCATGTCAGTTATCAATTATTCGGAACAGTCGTCTGGAATATTAGCTGACCCTCAGGATGTGCGCGGGCATTACCACGTTCTCGCCTTTGGTACGGAACGGAGCCGGGCCTGGCAAGAAGGTCGGTGTGGTCGGTCTTGGCGGATTGTAAGTACCTCATTAGGGGACAGATGAGCTAGCTGACAATCAGGGGCCACTATGCCGTCCTCTTCGGTAAAGCCCTCGGCGCAGAAGTGACCGTCTTCTCCCGGTCCGACGCCAAGAAGGCCGACGCCCTCAAGATGGGCGCCGACCGGTTCATCGCCACCGAGAACAAGGGGTTCGAGAAGGACCTCAAGCGCGACTTGGACCTCATCATCATCACCGCCTCTTCCTCGTCTCTCCCCCTGGACGAGCTCCTCTCATGTCTCGACATTGAGAAGAAGTGCGTCTTTGTCGGTATGCCCGAGGAAGGATTGTCAAACGTCCGGTCCCAGACCCTCAGCGACAATGCTGTGAGCTTGTCGAGCTCGCACCTCGGTAACAATGCAGAATTGAGGCAGATGCTCCAGCTGGCGGCGGACAAGGGGATCAAGCCGTGGGTCACCGTCATGCCCATGAAGGATGCGGCCAAGGCGATCAAGGCGGTCGAGGATAATTCGGTTCGGTACCGTTCGGTCCTGACCCAGGATATCGAGGCCTAGGCGGACGTAAGAGAGGGGAGTACCTAGAGTAAAAGTCAGTACGCAAATAGATACAGGATGCAAGTGGTCGACGAGCGAGACAGGATTCCAGGAACCAGGTCGTTAAAGGGACAGCAAAGATAATACATAGCTATGGCTACACATCGCGACACCCAACGCAACCACGACAGAACGTCCGTCTACCCTTCATCCTCCTCCTGGACAACGTCCATACTTCTCGACCTCGAAAAGCTACCTCTTGCAAAACCCATCCTATGGCTCCCCACGCTGCCTGCATCCCCTATCCTCGTCCCTGCCCCCGTTCCCTGCGCCTCCACAAGCACCACAGGCAAGATATCCCCCACATCCACTCCTCCGCCCCAATTGATCCCCTCGTCCTCTAGCTCCTCCTTCTCTTCCTCCTTGACGGCCACTTGAGACTCGTCATCGACAGCGGTGTCCTCGCCGTCGCCGCTGACTGAGCTGCCTATTGACGTGCGAGTTTGACCCAAAATTGTAGATGACGAGGGGAGGTACATGTCGAGATGGCGTGAGACGAAAGATTGGACAGAGGTCTTGTCGAGCGGGCCATCCAGTAGATTATCGCGCTAGGTGGTCAGCTTTGCCTTTCAGTCTGGTACGCAGTGAACGCAGAAGCTCACGAAGACAAAATAAACGCCTTTGATCGTCATTCCAAAGATATCTTTGAAGAGCTCGTGATCCCGCGGATAGCCTCGAGACTCCATGACCACCAAAGCTTGTTTACGGATGAGCTAGGGGGTCAGCTGTGAGACATAGAATGGTATGAGATGTTGTAAGCTGGCAACCTCGACGTACAGCTTTGTTGTCCAAGACCTGTTGCGGTACCCTCGCGCGCTTCTTCGAACTCGCCGAGGCTTCCTGCACATCCAGTGCCCCCTCCACTTTTGGCTTGGTTCCGAAGATATCCTCATCCCTGTCCGCCGCTGCGCCCATCTTGGAGCTCTCCGCCTGCACTGACGGCACACGAGACATCTCCCGAGACACAGGAAGATCCGGCTCTTCCTTGATCATCACCACCTTGCCCGACTTTCTCTTCCGCTCATTCTCCTCCGCCCCCGCCCCTGTGCCTGCTCTTGGCCGTTTCTCCCCTCTCCTCCCTGGCGTCCGGCCACTGACTGGCGCGTTCGCCTGCCCAGCGCCAGACGTCGACGCTATAGGTTGCACCGTGACCGAAACAGGCGGAGCATAGATGGACGAGACGCTACTCGTCCGTGAGAATGACCGAGATTTCGCCAGTGTCGACCGGTTCGGGAAAGGGAGTGGTTTCCTCGCTTTCGCAGGAAAGAAGAGCGGAGCACGAGGTAGTGGTTCCCCCGGCTTGATCTTGATCTCCGACGGCGGGGGCGCGGGCGGCCTTCGACGGGAAACAAGCAGGCGGAGTGCAGTAGATCCCGTCTGGAGCTGGCCGTACACTAAGAGCGTGTTTTGAGGGGAATCATCGTCCCCCAGACCGATCAATACGGCCTTCCTTGTCCGTCCCGTCAGTGATAACTGGGCTTCCCGGCAAAGGAGACCCGTAAAGTAAGCGACGAGGAGATGTGATGTTGGCGCGATGGACATCTGAACGCCTCCAGAGCCAGAGGGGTCGTCGCTTCCTTCGAGGATGTCCGAGTCGGCCAAGTCGGTCACGCCCCGGATGTGAAGGTATTTGCGACCGCGCATGGATTCGAGGGAGAGGCAAATGTCGGTGTCTGCCGATGGGAGGGAGAAGGGGGAGTGCGCGGAGCTCGGGTCGGGAAGGTGGGAGGGGGTGGATATGGGGACGTCGAAGGGGTTGGGGATGGGGTGAGTGGGGGTAGAGGGGAAGGTGAGGAGGGCGAAAAAGGTTATCCCTAGAGGAGTGAGCTTCATTATCGGCCATAACGAATCACCAAGCTCACCTTCAAGTCGGAATCCCTCAGGTCCAATCTCCACCCCGCCTCGCCATAACAACCGCCATGTGCTCCTTCCCTTTCCTGCTGATCCAGCAGCAGATACCGCGGTGGTCTTTGACCCTGGTGTGGCATCGCCAGCAGCCTTAGCCGGGCTAGGCAGGGTCGGTAAGAGGCATGTCCGTGAGAAGGATACCGCTGCTCTGGGTAGAGCCGGCCTAGCAAAAGGGTTTGCGCGGCTCGGTGAAGGCGCCACAAGCGGTGCGGTGATTGGTCGTATAGCGGTGGTGGACATGTTGGCACCCGCACCTGGGCCTACGATGGGTCGAGGTAGAGGGAGACGAGCTAGTCGCGTGACGCCGACATGTCGCTCTTCTATTGTGGGAGTACGAGATCTGAAGTTGGCGAGGATACGCCAGACAGCCTGTGTCTTCCTGCCGCCTTCGAGGCTGATCAGGCCTCGTCTTCTAGTGTAGGTGTGTATAGAGTCAATGGGTAGAGTGCATGAGCGAAGTCAACCTTTCTTTCCTCGTGCATCTGCTCATTCGCGTTCAAAACAAGGCGCGTCCGTGGGATGACGTGGCGTTCTCAAGCAAAGCGTATCACAGCTCTCCGCACCAGCCAGAGCCAGAGCCACCGTAGTGACCGTACACATCGACAACATACCTTCTCTCTGCGACCTGCGACCGTCCGACCTGCTCTTATCATCATGGTAGGTTCAGCTCCCTGACACAGCATCTCCTGCTCAGCTGATCATATAGTTACCCTTAACATTACTCACAGCCGCCCAGGGCAAGCCAATGGTGCGTCCAGCTCTCCGACCCCTACTCTCCGGTTAGCTAATCCTTTAGCTCGTGGAGCTCAAGAACGGCGTAACGTTTAACGGCCATTTGGTGGAATGCGACAACTTTATGAATGTGACGCTGCGGGAAGTGTATCAGACCAGTGCGGACGGAGAGCGGTTCTGGAAGATGAAGGAGATGTTCATCAAGGGGAACATTGTGAGTGTGCAAGGGATCTACGGAGGGGGAGGAGATACCGAGGAGACAAGGAAGAGCTCCGGAAGTGGCATGCTGATCAGTCAGATAAAGTACTTTAGAATAGCGGATGCGATCCTCGATCAGGCGGCAGAAGAACAAGAGAAGCAACGGGCGCAGATCAGGTCAAGGGGCGGATCAAGAGGTCAGCTCAGCGCTGGAGGAAGATTGGAGACTAAGCTGATTGTTCAGGTGGACGAGGTGGAAGTAACGCGCGAGGAGGTGAGTTTATGCACAGGTTCCAAATCCCGGTCGGCAGGTGCTGCGCTGACTTTCAGGTCGGGGCGGACCACCAGGTCGCGGTGGGCGTGGAGGCGGGGGAGGGGATAGGGGCGGACGAGGAGGCGGATTTGGTGGTGGAGATCGAGGAGGACGAGGTGGCGGGCGAGGTGGAGGGAGGGGCGGACCGCCAAGATGATCAATCCAGTCGAGAGGATAATGGAAAGCGAGAAGAGCAGGCCGCGCGCGCAGTGGAGGTGTATTCGAGGGCGTTGACGATGTTCATGGCTGGTACGTTTGGCTGTCATTACTTTATGCAGACAGCCGAGAATTGTGTAGCTACCTCAAGAGGCTTATCGCTGACCCCGCTAACCATACCGGATCGTGATGTCGTCATCTCTCACCGTACTTTCCTGTATCTCACACATTCCACCCCAGCCAACAGGTTGCCACTCCATTCATTCAACACCGTTCAAGTGTCCAGAGCTACAACTTTGTGTCTCAAGTTACAAGAAGTATGGGTACAACAAAGCTCTAATGAAGTTTGATTAGAGATGTCATGTGGATAGGGATTCTGGCCCAGCCAAACCCCCTCAACGCCCGCTCTCGCACCCTCCGTGGCCACCTTCCTATCGGTACGTGACCTGATCCAGCGGCCTCGCGCCCCTCGTGTCTGAAAGCACCGCTCCCCACTCATTATCATCCGCCTCGTCCTCCGCCTCGACCTCTTCCAGCTCGAATTGGCCATACCCCTCCTCGCTGTTGGATTTGGACATTGGTTGCGACGCCGCACCGTTGAATTGAGGGACCCCGAGGTAGTCATTGGTGGAGGGGATGTTTCCGTGGGGGTACGAGGCATGCTGGGCCGGCGGGAATTGGGCGTGATCAAACACTGGAGTGAGGTGGTTGTAGAGCTCGTTAACCGAATGGTCGTTGGCTGGGTCGTACGTCGTCTGGAGCTGCTCCGACCAGTCACCCTGCTGATGGGGTTCTCCCTGCTGACATGCCGCCCAGTCCTGTACCTCCTCCTGAGGCTGCCCGGTGTGGTAAGCCGAGTATTGACCGGCGTCGTGCTGCCCCACGAGGTCGGGGTCGATGGGCGCCTCGGCGAATGATGGCTCAGGCTGCGCCGCCGCCGCGCACGCTGCGTGGACGTCGTTGAGCTGGTGGCCGGTGGATGTAGGGCCGGCGGTGTGGGTGGGTACAGGTGTATAGTGTGGTTCGGGGTGTAGGATCCCGAGTAACCCTGAGCAGGATAGTATTGACCGGGGTTGGGGTCCGCATAGTAGGCCGCCGAGTCGCTGACGCGCCGAGTCATGTCTGGGTGACCTGGACGGAGATACTGGCGCTGGGCGGTAGCATCGAAGGAGACGGACCGGGAGACATTGTAGGGGAGAGAGGATTGGGAGGGGTTAAAGTAGCTGGGCTGGCCGAACGAGCTGGGGTAGTGGACGGCGTTGGCGGGAGGGACAGAGGAAGAGCCCGCGAGGTGGACGCGTCCTTGGCCGATCTCTGCGCGCTTCTGGGCCCGCTGAGCCAAAGCCGTCTGGGCCGCCGCTTTGGCTTCCGCCAGTGTGACTGTCTTCTTGCTGTCGAGCTTGGCATTGGTCTCGTTCATTTCGCTGACATCAGCGAGATTTTGAGGTAGTACTCACGCCACCAAGAACCGCTGTGAGTCCGACATGGGCCCGAGCGAGGCTGACGAGAGGGTACGCTTCGACTGGCACGTGGGGCACTTTTGGACGTATTTCGCGACAATCTCTTTGGGTATCCATGCATAAAACTTTCGGACCTGTTGTCAGCCCCGTCTTGTCTGATAACATACCTCTGCGCTCGTCTTGTCCCTTCCGCCATGCTGCGACGCCAAATGACAGTGCTTCAATACCCCGAGTATCCGTTCCCGCGCCGCGACCGGCTTGCCATCGATGGTAGTGAGGATCATATCCTTGTGGTAGGGAGTGACTCGGAAGGTCTTGCGAGCCCAGTACCGGAACTGGGGGGTGCGGAGGGTAGTGTCTTTGGGGTTGCGTATAGCGGCCATGCAGTCGTGATACATGGTCCCGTTGAGGAGCGCTTTTTCCCGCTTCTTGTGTGATAGGCCCGAGAGATACTCGTAGCAGATGAGATGAAAGTCATACGCCGTAGGAAGGCCGCGATCCGTTTCGCCGTCTACTAGTGCGCGGGCCTCTTCCTTGGGGTCCTGGACGGGCTTGACGAGGCCCATCTCGGCGTTGGAGAAGAAGGGCGCGTCATTCTTGCCGACGTCTTCGTCGAGAGACGCGTCGGATCCGCCTGGCGACTCATCGCGTGGTCGAGAGGGGACCATGGACTGGAGGTAGGGGGAGGTGGAGGGCGCCATTGAGGAGCTGGAGGGGGGAGGTGTGTGGTGTGGGTGGTGCGGGACTGGCCATCAGTGTTGGCTCGTACCTGAAGCTGAGGCTGATGGTGCTAGACTCACTGTACGACGGGACTCAGTCCCGGTCGTACAGTGAGTCTAGCACCATCAGCCTCAGCTTCAGGTACGAGCCAACACTGATGGCCAGTCCCGCACCACCCACACCACACACCTCCCCCCTCCAGCTCCTCAATGGCGCCCTCCACCTCCCCCTACCTCCAGTCCATGGTCCCCTCTCGACCACGCGATGAGTCGCCAGGCGGATCCGACGCGTCTCTCGACGAAGACGTCGGCAAGAATGACGCGCCCTTCTTCTCCAACGCCGAGATGGGCCTCGTCAAGCCCGTCCAGGACCCCAAGGAAGAGGCCCGCGCACTAGTAGACGGCGAAACGGATCGCGGCCTTCCTACGGCGTATGACTTTCATCTCATCTGCTACGAGTATCTCTCGGGCCTATCACACAAGAAGCGGGAAAAAGCGCTCCTCAACGGGACCATGTATCACGACTGCATGGCCGCTATACGCAACCCCAAAGACACTACCCTCCGCACCCCCCAGTTCCGGTACTGGGCTCGCAAGACCTTCCGAGTCACTCCCTACCACAAGGATATGATCCTCACTACCATCGATGGCAAGCCGGTCGCGGCGCGGGAACGGATACTCGGGGTATTGAAGCACTGTCATTTGGCGTCGCAGCATGGCGGAAGGGACAAGACGAGCGCAGAGGTATGTTATCAGACAAGACGGGGCTGACAACAGGTCCGAAAGTTTTATGCATGGATACCCAAAGAGATTGTCGCGAAATACGTCCAAAAGTGCCCCACGTGCCAGTCGAAGCGTACCCTCTCGTCAGCCTCGCTCGGGCCCATGTCGGACTCACAGCGGTTCTTGGTGGCGTGAGTACTACCTCAAAATCTCGCTGATGTCAGCGAAATGAACGAGACCAATGCCAAGCTCGACAGCAAGAAGACAGTCACACTGGCGGAAGCCAAAGCGGCGGCCCAGACGGCTTTGGCTCAGCGGGCCCAGAAGCGCGCAGAGATCGGCCAAGGACGCGTCCACCTCGCGGGCTCTTCCTCTGTCCCTCCCGCCAACGCCGTCCACTACCCCAGCTCGTTCGGCCAGCCCAGCTACTTTAACCCCTCCCAATCCTCTCTCCCCTACAATGTCTCCCGGTCCGTCTCCTTCGATGCTACCGCCCAGCGCCAGTATCTCCGTCCAGGTCACCCAGACATGACTCGGCGCGTCAGCGACTCGGCGGCCTACTATGCGGACCCCAACCCCGGTCAATACTATCCTGCTCAGGGTTACTCGGGATCCTACACCCCGAACCACACTATACACCTGTACCCACCCACACCGCCGGCCCTACATCCACCGGCCACCAGCTCAACGACGTCCACGCAGCGTGCGCGGCGGCGGCGCAGCCTGAGCCATCATTCGCCGAGGCGCCCATCGACCCCGACCTCGTGGGGCAGCACGACGCCGGTCAATACTCGGCTTACCACACCGGGCAGCCTCAGGAGGAGGTACAGGACTGGGCGGCATGTCAGCAGGGAGAACCCCATCAGCAGGGTGACTGGTCGGAGCAGCTCCAGACGACGTACGACCCAGCCAACGACCATTCGGTTAACGAGCTCTACAACCACCTCACTCCAGTGTTTGATCACGCCCAATTCCCGCCGGCCCAGCATGCCTCGTACCCCCACGGAAACATCCCCTCCACCAATGACTACCTCGGGGTCCCTCAATTCAACGGTGCGGCGTCGCAACCAATGTCCAAATCCAACAGCGAGGAGGGGTATGGCCAATTCGAGCTGGAAGAGGTCGAGGCGGAGGACGAGGCGGATGATAATGAGTGGGGAGCGGTGCTTTCAGACACGAGGGGCGCGAGGCCGCTGGATCAGGTCACGTACCGATAGGAAGGTGGCCACGGAGGGTGCGAGAGCGGGCGTTGAGGGGGTTTGGCTGGGCCAGAATCCCTATCCACATGACATCTCTAATCAAACTTCATTAGAGCTTTGTTGTACCCATACTTCTTGTAACTTGAGACACAAAGTTGTAGCTCTGGACACTTGAACGGTGTTGAATGAATGGAGTGGCAACCTGTTGGCTGGGGTGGAATGTGTGAGATACAGGAAAGTACGGTGAGAGATGACGACATCACGATCCGGTATGGTTAGCGGGGTCAGCGATAAGCCTCTTGAGGTAGCTACACAATTCTCGGCTGTCTGCATAAAGTAATGACAGCCAAACGTACCAGCCATGAACATCGTCAACGCCCTCGAATACACCTCCACTGCGCGCGCGGCCTGCTCTTCTCGCTTTCCATTATCCTCTCGACTGGATTGATCATCTTGGCGGTCCGCCCCTCCCTCCACCTCGCCCGCCACCTCGTCCTCCTCGATCTCCACCACCAAATCCGCCTCCTCGTCCGCCCCTATCCCCTCCCCCGCCTCCACGCCCACCGCGACCTGGTGGTCCGCCCCGACCTGAAAGTCAGCGCAGCACCTGCCGACCGGGATTTGGAACCTGTGCATAAACTCACCTCCTCGCGCGTTACTTCCACCTCGTCCACCTGAACAATCAGCTTAGTCTCCAATCTTCCTCCAGCGCTGAGCTGACCTCTTGATCCGCCCCTTGACCTGATCTGCGCCCGTTGCTTCTCTTGTTCTTCTGCCGCCTGATCGAGGATCGCATCCGCTATTCTAAAGTACTTTATCTGACTGATCAGCATGCCACTTCCGGAGCTCTTCCTTGTCTCCTCGGTATCTCCTCCCCCTCCGTAGATCCCTTGCACACTCACAATGTTCCCCTTGATGAACATCTCCTTCATCTTCCAGAACCGCTCTCCGTCCGCACTGGTCTGATACACTTCCCGCAGCGTCACATTCATAAAGTTGTCGCATTCCACCAAATGGCCGTTAAACGTTACGCCGTTCTTGAGCTCCACGAGCTAAAGGATTAGCTAACCGGAGAGTAGGGGTCGGAGAGCTGGACGCACCATTGGCTTGCCCTGGGCGGCTGTGAGTAATGTTAAGGGTAACTATATGATCAGCTGAGCAGGAGATGCTGTGTCAGGGAGCTGAACCTACCATGATGATAAGAGCAGGTCGGACGGTCGCAGGTCGCAGAGAGAAGGTATGTTGTCGATGTGTACGGTCACTACGGTGGCTCTGGCTCTGGCTGGTGCGGAGAGCTGTGATACGCTTTGCTTGAGAACGCCACGTCATCCCACGGACGCGCCTTGTTTTGAACGCGAATGAGCAGATGCACGAGGAAAGAAAGGTTGACTTCGCTCATGCACTCTACCCATTGACTCTATACACACCTACACTAGAAGACGAGGCCTGATCAGCCTCGAAGGCGGCAGGAAGACACAGGCTGTCTGGCGTATCCTCGCCAACTTCAGATCTCGTACTCCCACAATAGAAGAGCGACATGTCGGCGTCACGCGACTAGCTCGTCTCCCTCTACCTCGACCCATCGTAGGCCCAGGTGCGGGTGCCAACATGTCCACCACCGCTATACGACCAATCACCGCACCGCTTGTGGCGCCTTCACCGAGCCGCGCAAACCCTTTTGCTAGGCCGGCTCTACCCAGAGCAGCGGTATCCTTCTCACGGACATGCCTCTTACCGACCCTGCCTAGCCCGGCTAAGGCTGCTGGCGATGCCACACCAGGGTCAAAGACCACCGCGGTATCTGCTGCTGGATCAGCAGGAAAGGGAAGGAGCACATGGCGGTTGTTATGGCGAGGCGGGGTGGAGATTGGACCTGAGGGATTCCGACTTGAAGGTGAGCTTGGTGATTCGTTATGGCCGATAATGAAGCTCACTCCTCTAGGGATAACCTTTTTCGCCCTCCTCACCTTCCCCTCTACCCCCACTCACCCCATCCCCAACCCCTTCGACGTCCCCATATCCACCCCCTCCCACCTTCCCGACCCGAGCTCCGCGCACTCCCCCTTCTCCCTCCCATCGGCAGACACCGACATTTGCCTCTCCCTCGAATCCATGCGCGGTCGCAAATACCTTCACATCCGGGGCGTGACCGACTTGGCCGACTCGGACATCCTCGAAGGAAGCGACGACCCCTCTGGCTCTGGAGGCGTTCAGATGTCCATCGCGCCAACATCACATCTCCTCGTCGCTTACTTTACGGGTCTCCTTTGCCGGGAAGCCCAGTTATCACTGACGGGACGGACAAGGAAGGCCGTATTGATCGGTCTGGGGGACGATGATTCCCCTCAAAACACGCTCTTAGTGTACGGCCAGCTCCAGACGGGATCTACTGCACTCCGCCTGCTTGTTTCCCGTCGAAGGCCGCCCGCGCCCCCGCCGTCGGAGATCAAGATCAAGCCGGGGGAACCACTACCTCGTGCTCCGCTCTTCTTTCCTGCGAAAGCGAGGAAACCACTCCCTTTCCCGAACCGGTCGACACTGGCGAAATCTCGGTCATTCTCACGGACGAGTAGCGTCTCGTCCATCTATGCTCCGCCTGTTTCGGTCACGGTGCAACCTATAGCGTCGACGTCTGGCGCTGGGCAGGCGAACGCGCCAGTCAGTGGCCGGACGCCAGGGAGGAGAGGGGAGAAACGGCCAAGAGCAGGCACAGGGGCGGGGGCGGAGGAGAATGAGCGGAAGAGAAAGTCGGGCAAGGTGGTGATGATCAAGGAAGAGCCGGATCTTCCTGTGTCTCGGGAGATGTCTCGTGTGCCGTCAGTGCAGGCGGAGAGCTCCAAGATGGGCGCAGCGGCGGACAGGGATGAGGATATCTTCGGAACCAAGCCAAAAGTGGAGGGGGCACTGGATGTGCAGGAAGCCTCG